AAATAATAGGTGCCGTATTATAATAGGGATCCTTTTGACAACCACCCATATAGGAATATAGAAGGATCAATACGAGCTCAAGCTGGGGATTTCGGCCCTTTTGAATAAAGGTGCTAGCCGCAAGGTGCTCCGACGTCATTCTCGTGGAATCTGTAAAATGGTCCTATGACTAACCCATACAATCTATCAGCTGCTACTTTCCAGCTGAGTTTCCACCTGATTCCCCACTACCGCGAGCTGTAAATAGCAGCCCCAAGAACCCAAAATTAAGGTCCAATTTTGGTACGCCTAAATATTTGGTGCTGTGATATAATCTGTAGCCAAAAGGGGCCCATAATTTTGAGAACAGCCCATCTAATCCCAGGTTCCATTTCAATTTCCGTTGTCTTTTCCGTCTGATTCTCCATTATCATAGTTTCCATTTTCTTTTCCATTCCCCAAAAACCCTAGACCCTAAACCCTACAACCCTGAACCCTACACCCTATTCCAAATCCGAGCCGCCGCATGCTGAAGACCACATAGCCTCCTGGCTTTGTCACACGGAGAAGCTCTGACATTGTCATGTTCTCCTGAGTCGTGCAGGGCTTTTCCAGGGGCCGCATGTAAGGCCTTGTTGAGGATTATCGAGGGCTTTAAGAGGAAGTGTGCAGGATCTAATGGGGTCGAATCGAGGACTCAGGCTTTGGGACCCGTTGCAAATGATGGCTGAAGGTGAAAGATTGAGAGTTCCCAGTGCTTCAAAGCTTGCATTTCCGCCCAACGACCAACAAGCCCCTGAGCACGAAAGGGCTTCTGAACTAAGCAGTATATAAGGGGTTCCTGGTTCCTCACGTTATACCCTCTATAGTTCATGTTCTGCGGACTCAAAAGTGTAACCGAACCCCCATCACTTTCTAGTGGCCGCCCAGCCATGACTGCTTCACTGACAGCTTCGAAGCTGACAGTTAGTACCGCTTTTTTCCACCGACTGAGTCGTGTCAGGCGTGTGCTGGGGATTATATATCTTGCATGGCACACAATACTGCGTAGAAAGCCGCAAACTTGCAATACTTCCAACTTGAAACTCTTCAAGGGTACCCCATAAATGGTGTACTGACCTAGTTAGCTGTTGACTGCTCTACTGCACATATCATCCCAAGCAGCTGGATCCATGTAGGTCAGCGTCCCCAGGCAAAGCGTAACGTCGAAACCGGCGTCAGGGAAGTCGAAGGCGGCTTTCAGATCCACGACCTACTGTACCCGCTGAAATGAGCTATAGTCTGAACTCCTTAAAGGGGGGCTATATAGGGGAGTATAAGTTAGAGTATACCTTGCCTATTTTCGGCTATTGGCACCACCCACCCCCACAAAGACAAATATCTATCCTAGGAGAACTATCTTATTCCCAATACTCCTATCTATCTAGGTGCCATAGCCCAAAATAGGCAAGGGGTTCCTTATAGAATTTGGTTCAGGGTTTAGGGTTAAGGGTTAAATCAAAGCTCAATCTTCTCGGATTCTCCAAGAATGTTGTAACTATGCTGTAAATATAATATATAACTGCTTATGTATTATAATTGCATCATAGTATTATTGCATAATAAGAATTAGCTTGTTTGTTCGGTTTGTCATCAACAGGTATCTCAATAATTACTCTATCTTTGTGCTTTCCAAATATCATAAAGTAGTTCTCCAAAAACAGATCATTCATTAACAACTGCCACACATGATCAAAAACCTCATCAACTTCAGATTTCTTATCCACGATCTTGGTTTTCTTGTATTCCTTTCTCTTCTCTCTGCATTTAATACAGTTGCGCCAAGGTTGCCCCGATCTATTAAACCCGAACTCTTCAGTAGGTTTTTTACTGTGGCATCTTGTGCATTTGATTGTCTCCATCTTCCTAATATTAATAACACTATCCCTTTAAACTGCTTCTATCCAAGCATTCAGAACAAGTCAAGGTATATCTAACATAACAATAATTGTAATTTTTCTTGTTAGTTATATACACCCGTTTGAAACATTCAATGTCTTTGATTTGCTTACAATGACAACACTTCCTATTAACAACATTACCTGTTTCAGTATATGGGTCAAAATCAACTGATATCTTCCCTACTCTTACTGGCATTATATTATTATACTACACACTTTTTCATAATGACTAATTATGAAAACGTGCATATATACAACCTTAAGCTTTAACGAAAACTAA